TTGAGTAATCCAGCGGATTAAGATCGGGGCTGGATGGCGGCCACATATCTTTCGCTTAGAACGGAAGATGCTCCTGCAACCACTTCTGAGTGCGGTTCGAGGTGTGGCACGGAGCCCCATCTTGTTGAAATACAACATTTGGCTTCGGACCGTACTGTTCTTTGATCCACGGAAGAACATACTTACTTAAAATCCCGAAGTAGACCTCCGTGTTGACACCGGGTCCATTTTTTTACCATCGGAAGCCACCAATCCAAACACCATAACGCTAGCAGGATGCTTGGTCAGATACACGTTCTTGTGCTCGTCGGCCACGTCTTTTACCGGAAGAGAACTAATATACCAGTCGGTTCTGGAATTTGATACGGGATCGACGGTAAACATGCTCCCGTCGGTGAACAGGATTACCGGATTTTTTCACTTAAGGAAGTTCAAGATTTTCTTGCATCGTTCGACTCGTAGCTCCCGGATGCGGTTGGTAATCATGTGAGTTTTTTCCGTGCCCTCGACTTCGCCCCGCAATCTTCCTTTACGATTTTCTGTGCCGTAAAGTCACTGATCCAGTGTTTCTTTGCCATTTTCCTTATTGAACGCACTGGATTCACCCGAATCTTCCTTTTGATAGCAGCGATAACCCTCGGAACCCGAGCTGACCTCGGACGACCTGTGGCCATCTTCGCGGATAGTTGTCCTTTCTTTTCTCGGTCTAAAACCCTTTTGACGGTCCATCGGGACACTTCTACGGCGATTGAAATGTCTTTTTGCGACATTTGCGCGTGGGACAAATCACGAATACGCTGCCACTTTGTCATGGTGCAACTGTCAAACTAAGAAATCATTTTCTTTTACACACAGCCTACTACGGTATGAGCTATAGGTTTGCATGCAAAGTAAACTAAGGCATTGTATGCACAGGTGAAACAGGAATCTTAGTTGTACGATGGTGCAAACATTATCACGCATACGGTACCACGAAATTTCTGCTCAAAGCACACTACCGACATCTGCCTCCGTGTTCGCGGGAAACGTTTATCTGAGCCACGAACACGAGTGCAAAATGTATGAGTTGGTTCGTGTCTGATATATTCTTGACAAGTAATTTCTATCTAAATCAAAAGTTTCTTTAGCTTTGACAGATGGGATCGCTGCACATTTGAATCGGCCGTTATAGATTTTCGAGCGAAAGTTTAGTTTGAGTTTCATGTCGGTTTTTCGGTGTTCGAAATATACCACATCATAGGAATATTTTTACAATGACCCCTCTGTTTGAGAGATCCGCCCTTTGAAATAAACTTTTATATTTTAAACTGAAAGTGCATTAAATTTACTTAATAAAACAATTGAAATTTTACAAATCGGTTTATCCTTCGCTGAGATATGACAATTTGAATTTGGGGTCAATTTGACCCCAAGTTACAGACAACTTTAGTTTATTTTGCACAGACGAAGGATTACTTGATCCGGCTTCAGATCATCCAGGCAATCCAAGAGCAGCATCTACTTGAGGAAATTTGAACTATTGTTTTTATCTGGCCCTTTTCAAATGTCCATCTAGATGTTCATAGTCTGGCGGATAGAATTTCGATCGATCGAAAAGCTGAACCAATTCAATATATTTTAGACTAACAATTGAAAAGGTACTATCAACTTTTACAAACAAAACGTTGACTATTATTTGTTCTATAATCGCTATGTTCATAGTCTGGCGGATAGAATCTCGGGAACCAATTGAGCTGCCAAATAGTGGAATCAATCGAGCAAATCACGACCAACAACAGTAAAGAGCACATCAGCTATTGCGAACAAAACTTCGGAAACCATTTTCTCGTGACTCAAGGCTCGCCTACACAAGCTAACACCATCTTTGGGATGGGGAAAGTTTCCCCAATCCGATGATGCCGATAATTTGCGTTCGATTGCCGAGAAAAGAATTATCAACGTTTTGTTTATAAAAGTTGATACAACCTTTTCAATTGTTGGTCTACACTATTGATGAATCTACGCAAAACTGCACCAGTGCATGCGACACCTAGGTTTGAAATCCAAAACCACAAAAGTGATGATGTACTAAAAAATATTCCATACGATTTGACAGCTAGTAAACCGTCATTATCATTTTCACATCATTTCCATCTACTGGCTGACCGTAACGTAGATTCATCAATATTGAATTGCTTCCGCTTTTTAATAGATCGAAATTCTATCCGCCAGACTATGAATATAGCGACTATACTGGCAAGGCCATTGTTCGTGTTATTTTCGTGCTCGTCAACTTCGGTCAGTTTATTGTATAGACGGTCATTTAAAACACACACGCCTAACGAGTGTTACCTGGTACGATTTGACAGTTCAGTTGGATACACCAGCAGGCATCTTTAGGATTAGTACACGAGTTTCTAAAGTTTATCATCATTCGGAGGCTTGACTGATCAGTTAAATGCATTGGGAGCATGTAATCACACGGAAAACGTACGTATTATCCATCTTCGCTATTAAAGCCAAGCAGATTCCTGGATTAATGGCACGATCCAGCCAATTTGACAGAATTACGGTGGTGCTTAAATAGCTAACGGAATTTTTATGGCAAGCATTCGACCGTTCGACGCTTTTAGGCTGCTTCTTTTCCAAAACAGCCCCTTAATCAATGAGAAAAAAGCGTCTTCAACAAAACGGGATTGCATTTTGTTCCTGGTTAGGGTTACCATATGATATCCTAAAGGAGGACATGTCCTCCTTTTTCAACATTTTTTCACATGTCCTCCTTTTGCCTCAAAATATCCTCCTTTTTAATCCTTGAATATTTTCAAGCAAAATTTTAATAAATAAATTTTTCATTTCATTTTGACGCAACCTCATACTATTTTTAAGGTTTTGAAGTTTATTAAACTGATGTTTTCATGCAAAACAGTTCAATAGTTCACAGAACCGGTCATATTATTAAGGGTCTAGTATAGGAAAGGAGCGGACTGGCTGGTTTTAAGCCAAACGAACTGTCAAAGCCAGAGCCAACCGAACATCGCCTATCTTGATTCCATTGGCAGTTTCTCCAGAAACATCCCCGGCAGAGGTTGCCAAGGCAGTTTGTTTTGAACCTGCTCCTCTCTTAAGTCATATTAAAAGGCTCATTGTAATGTGTTTGTCTGTCCAAAAAAAGTTTAAAGAGCTGTAATTTTTTAGTATGTGCATTTAAATTGCTGAAATTTGGGCTGCTGGTTGATCAAATATTCAAAATTTACCGGTATTTTTTAGAGAGTTGACTCTACATGAAGTATGAGTAATTTCAATAAAACGAGTCTTGTTTAAACATCGTTTAAAAAATTGTTATTTCTTGAAGCACATCAATTCTTAATTTCAATTCAACTTAATAAGTTCATTTTATTATTTAACCAACCAGTAGTAACAATTTCAGAGGGTCGGGGGTGACCCCGGCGTAGTGGTTAGCATCCATACCTCTCACGCCAAAGTCACGAGTTCAAATCTCACCCCCGGACAAGTCTTGAATGACCCAAGAGCGTTAAAGTGACTATAATAAAAAAAAAAAACAATTTCAGAATTTTCAATACCAATATTAAAAAGTTTCAGTCCATTAAACTTGTTTAGAGGGAGTCAAAATTCCATTATTAGTACCCTAATATTACCGGTACTTCGTCCTAGTATCCGTTAGAAAGGATTACTGCTTTTCAATTGGACGTAACCCAATAGACAAACTACCAATTACCGAAAGGGAACATCATTAATTTTCAAATTTATTCGGTTTAAACGAAAAAACTGCTTCTGAATTTCCAAAAAAATATGACGTCCCCCTTTTCCTTTAAAGAATAATGATTATAATCGAATTGATGACGACTACACTACACTACACCTTTTGAAAATCATAAATTTTGAGTAAGTGCATATGTTTTAAAAATGTTTGGTAAAAACTCGTTGTCCTCCTCCATTGATGATACAAAATATATACTATGTCCTCCTTTTTCTCTAAAATTGAAATTAAATGTCCTCATTTTCAATTTTTTGAAATGGTAACCCTATTCCTGGTATGCATTGTTTTCAATATTGTTTGTTGTGACTTGCATCAATATGAACTTTAAAGAAGGCAAATGCAAATTGTAGATGTACACAATGAAGTAAGCCATTAGTAGTTCACCTTCTCGTGAATCAACGTTCCGTAAATTGAATAAGGTAGCCGGAATTATACGAAGATGCTGGTAAAATTCTTCGACGAGATTCGTGTAAGATTTTCGAAAACTTATCATTGCATACGTTTTGTGAAAAACCAATGACGAAATAATAGACTAGATGAAAACTATGCGTCAAAACTAAGAGGTAGTCGAACGAACGGTTTCTGATTTCTGATTATGATTTTCGATTCTGATCTAAAGATTTATTTTTTTATAATGTGAACAACTGGTTGAAAACCTAAAATTCTTAAAATTTCATCAGACAGGATTCAGGCAGTATCCATAACAATCAATATCAGCGAAAGTAACATCACTCACATCAATCAATAGTTAAACACTTGTATATAAATAGTACCCAAGATCAATGTGCACGATGTTTTATCCTTTACGAAGATATTTTTGATTGATGCTCATTCCACATTAAAAAAACTCAAAGCATTTCAGAAGAGGATGGAAAAGCATGTGTTTTTGATTGGAGCTTTGATATTTTGTCGATGTCCAGTAAATACCGATTTTGAATACATATTTCTTAAAACGAGCGCCAAGATGCAATTGGATTCATTCATGCATTTCACCACGATAGCAATCCTATATATAACCAGAAAACCCATTCCCATTCCATTCCAAGGCAGCAAAATTTATTCGAAAAACACCGAAATAATCGAAATTGCTTACCGCTTTAAATTTTATGTGTTGTTCGTTTTCTTTTATTCGTTTTTCCATATTTTTGCCTCTACAAAACGTACATTCAAAATACACATACACACATACACTCGTACAAAAATTGCCCCAACAAATCAAACAAACACACCCACAAACCAGTTCACGGCATCTTTCCGACAGTGAAGATGAAACCCACGACGATCGATCACTGCTTTGTGTGAGAGATAAAACGTAAGTCCAGTTAAGCTCAGTTAAGTTACACTCTCCTCCTAACCTCCTGTCCTCTCTTCGTTTCGTTGATTTGTGCTAATCTGTTAGTAATTACTCCCTCCAAACGCGTTCTACCACTTACTAACCGTTCGAAACATAATGTGTCCTTCTAATTGGCAAGATCAACATTTACTTCCGGCAAGATCCTCTCCTTCTCTGTCTCACTATCTCACTCGAATTCTACCTCTCATTTGTATGTGTAGTTTTGAAGTTTGTGTTGACGTTTGACTAAACATCAAATTTTGAGCTGGAGTTTGATTGTTGTGTCTGTTGTGCGCTTTGAACTACATCCTCTTCTATCATAGCTCAGTGTTTAACGTTTGTGTTCTGGATTATTGTTTACATCTAGTTAAAATACAATGACAGCCATTTTTTTGCAGGAAAAGTGACGGCAACCTGTTTGCAACATGTCAGCGTTACAAAACGGTTGCCATAACTTGATTCTGCGATGAATATGGGCTCTACTGATGTTTTATGGGTGTAGTACTAACCCCGTTGAGGATATTTTATATCAAATTCTGTGTATTCTTTGTCATTCATATATGGGTTCATTGATCATCGAGGAAATCTCCTATGCTACTGACAGTTCTTGGAAATATTTCCTCGAAATTGAGTCAAATGCGGTAAGCGTGGATCGGGCGGAATGGGCCGATTGCAATATGACATTGAGGTTATCATTATTTTAATGGTGAAACTACAATAACAACGATTGGGACCTCGGTGGGGGAGCCTTAAAAGCTTACTGATTTTGAACAAGCAATGATCGCAAACGATGATGAGCGCATTATGGGACGCCATGGTCTCGGAGATATGAGCGAGACCGGCGAGCTGCTTGCAGAGTTTTGTGGCAACAACGACATGGTGATCGGGGGTTCGCTCTTCCCCCTCCGTCCAATGCATAAAGTAACATGGGTCTCCTGTGATGGATATACAGAGAACCAAATCGACCACATCTGCATCAGCCGAAAATGGAGACGAAGCCTTCTTGATGTTCGGAATAAACGCAGCGCTGACATCGCGTCTGACCATCATCTCCTGGTCGGTAAGATCCGCCTACGCATTGCGCGGGTTCAACGGCGGGAGGAGAGACTCCGGCGACGATTCAACACAAGCTGACGTCGAAGGCTCGTGCAGCTAATATTCCGGAAGGTGGCAGCGTAGAAGAACAGTGGACGAGCATCAGGAATGCCTTTATTGAAACAAGTGAGAACAACCTGGGTGAGCTGCACACATTCAGAGGAAGGAGTGGATCACCGATGAAACCTGGAGGAAGATCAAAGAGCGGAGAGAAGCAAAAGCCGCGATAGAGCGAGCAAGGACCCGAGGAGCCAATAACGAGGCCCGTCAGCGATATTCGGCTCTAGAGAGGGAAGTTAAGCGCTCCTGTATACGGGACAAGCAAGCGTGGGTGGACTCCCTGGCTGATGAAGGGGAGAGAGCCGCAGCAACTGGCGATATCCGCCTCCTCTATGATGTTTCACGACGCCTGAGCGGGGCAAGGATGAACCCAAGGATGCCTGTGAAAGACGCGACTGGACAGTTGCTCACCGACCCCACTGACCAGTTGAAACATTGGTTTGAGCACTTTGAACAACTTCTCAAAGTTTCAACGGTCAACCAACCATCGACATCTCGGCATGATCCGCCTCGCGTCAACACTGAAGCTCCATCATTGCAGGAGATAGAAGCAGCCATCCGAAGTATGAAGTCCAACAAAGCCTTTTTTTTTCTTTATTACCGTGATGTTTATGGGTCAGGCCAGATGGTCAGGCTAGATCCTGCCTAAACATAGGTTTCAATTTGACACGAACGTGACGTATAACCGGCTCTGATTACCCAACGAATGAGACAGACAACATTTTAAAAACTTAATGTAAGGTGAGGATTAGATCGGGGCTGCGGTCAAGACTGGGTGCGCGAACAAGGTAGAGCTCCACCGTAGGGGACAGTGCCCGGTCCGGCGGAGAAACCCCGAAGGCAGAAAAAAATAGAAACGTGAGGAACACACGATCAGTGCAGCCACCGACGGGGGGCTAGATTTGGTCATACAAGTGGGCTTCTTTCAGAAAGGCGATCAGCGCATCCAACGTCGAGGGGTCGTAACCAAGCAGATTGCTGACGTTCTCCGGGAGTCCATGTTGTTCGCGTAGCACTCAGGGCAGACACACAGCACGTGTTCCACCGAGGCGGGGATGCTGCAGATTGAACAGACCTTGCGGAAAGGTGTCCCACCGAAATTACAGGAAATCCTTGCATGGCCGGTCCGGAGTCTTGAGATGATCCGCTGGTCCTTGTACTTTTGGCTGTCCGGCCAGGAGCGTACGGTTCCCTTGATCTCCTCAGGAAAGTGGTCCGCGACTGGAACCATTCCTGCTGCCAGGCTTCCATAATGGTATTCACAATCCAACGCCTGACGTCGAGGAGGGGTCCGTTCCTGGTGTAGCGGGGACGGGATGCGCCAGATTCCGCCAGTCTGTCTGCAGCCTCGTTTCCGGGAACACCGCAGTGTCCGAGGATCCACGTAAAGGCGGTTGAAGGTGGGGCGTACCGTGTAATGGCTTGTATCCAGGGGTGGCTCGGGGCTTCGGCTTCCAGCGCTTGGATGACGCTGTGTGAGTCCCTGCCGGAGTGATGGCTGCGTCTAGAATAGCTGCGGCTTCAGCGGAAAAGCCGGAACACTCCTCCGGTATACTTTGACTCGTTGCAGTGTTCGGTCCTGCCACTCCGAGTCCAACTCCAGCCCGCGACCGCGATCCGTCCGTAAAACGATGAACGTGCCCCGGATAAACCGACCCGAGAAGCTCTGCAACAGAACGTCTCAAAGCTACAGAGTTATCTCCGGCTTGGAATTCACTCTTAATCCTTCTTCTTCTTCTTCTTCTTCTTATTCTTCTTCTTCTTCGCATTTCAAGCTTATTGCATATCGCATAATAGCTTATTGCGTGCTCTCAACTTAGTGTTCTAGATGCACTTACACAGTTATTAATTGAGAGCTTTCGATGCCTGTACCATTTTTGCATTGGTATAATGGTGTGGCAAGTCCAATCACACTTCTATGTCCAGAGAAGTCGAGCAATTTTCCTACCCGAAAAATTCCTAGACCGGACCGGGAATCGAATCCAGCCACCTCCAGCATCGTCTTGCTTTGTAGCTGCGCCTTTACCGACTGAGCTAAGGGAGGCCCCTCACTCTTAATCCGCTTATCTATTTTGACGACGTATGATCGCCAACTTTTCTCTCCATGCCAGTGGACCCTGTCCACCGGGGGGAGGTCACGGTTGGCTGCAGTGTGGAGGGCTCTGTTCCCCTCGTTAAAGAGAAAGACCATTTCATTCCCGGATGTCTTAGCAGCGAGGGCAGCGGCTTTCGTAGCAATGGCTGCAGCAAATCGATAGCGGAAAGGGAGGATTCCGATTTCCACACATTTGGCGTCTGCAGGCGTGGAAGGGAGAAGGCCGGATACGATGCGTACGTAGGTATTGTATACCGAAGCGAGGGTGTGGTTGAGCTTCTCGGTGGCTAAGCAGGTTATTTCGAGGCCGTAGAAAAGTCGACTGTCGATAACAGCCCGAGCGACACGAAGGCGGATCTCACGGTTGCTGGAGCGATGTGGGCGGGAGATTGTCCTGACTATGTTGATGCGGCTATGACAGTTTTCTTTCACCATCCTGAAGTGCTGGATGAAGCTTAGGGTGCAAACCAGTACTACCCCCAGAACACGCACTGTTTTCTTGAGCGGAATCGGGTGATCTTGGATGGTGATCGGTGGTCCTCGAATCAGATGGCCCGAGTGACAGATATGGCACACTCTTTGGAGCGGTGAGCTATGTTCCTGGTCCGCTTAGTCGTTCGTCCCGTTACGACGATGAGTATGTCGTCGGCATAAACGATTACGTGCACGTTCTTGGGCAATCGGCTGAATACCCCGTTCATTGCCACCAGGAATAGCGTTACCGCTATGACGGACCCCTGGGGCACTCTAGTTTCTTCGGGGAACGGATCCGAGCAAGTGTACGATCAAGGAGGAAATTCCATACTAAATGTGTGATGTGACCTTCCAGGCCCCAGCCGATGAGCTGCCTGATGACACCAGGTGTCCATGTCCTGTTGAACGTCTTTGAAATATCAAGGGAGACTAACTCCGCATGGTGACCGTTGTCCTGGGCTTCCTTAAGTACTTTGCCGAGGGCTGCAAAGTAAGTGGAGGAGCCGTGTCCTTGCCGGAACGCATGCTGCTGTTCGTCAAGGAGGCCGTTTGACTCCAGGAACTGCCTAAGACGACGATTTACCATTCTCTCCATCACTTTTGCCGCGCAGCAAGTGAGCGCAATCGGCCTAAAGGAGGAGGCTTCTTCACTCTTCGTGTTGTTCTTCGGAATGGGCACAACCAAGCTTTGTTTCCAGAGGTCCGAATACGAGTCAGTGAGATCGGTGAAGAGGGCGAGTAGCCTCGTTTTTCCGTCGAGGAGAGGTTTTTCAACACCGGGTTTCCAATCTCGTCCGACCCGGCAGATTTACCACTACTGGAGCTCCAGGAATGTAAGAGCTTCGTTGATCTGGAGAGCAGGAACATCGGGTGGAATTCGCAAGTCGCGAATCCTGCTTGTGGAAGGTTTGACGCGCTGGACGAAATCACTGTCGTAGCCACTGACAGCAGACAGGCCGGCAAAATATTTTCCTAATTCGTCGGCGATTTCCTTCGGTTCTGAGATCGAGGTGCCATGAGCTTGGATAGTAAGTGGAGTAGACCGCCGCTTGCCACTCAGAGTGTTGACGCGATTCCACAATTCACTCGATGATTGGGATTCGTCGATTGAATCCAAGAAATCCATCCAGCTAGATCGCTTTGCGTCACGGATCACCTGTCTGCACGAGAGATGACGTTCTCGGTAAAATTTCAGCGCTTCCTCCCTCCCAGGGTCGTCTAAGGCGAGACGCTTAAGCTGGCGTAAAGCTTTGTG